TGCAAAGTTTGTTCTCCACATAACCAAAAAATGTCAGGATGCTTTAAAGCAGCAAACTGCAGTTTCCTGAAGCTCTATTTGAAGCAGGTAATAATCAATCTGGTCATCAGCAGAACCAAAAAACCTGTATAAAACAGAACAGCCTTGATTAAGGTATGACATTTTCTCAGTTTCTTATCTCTCTGTATCTTTGGCACACACAGAGCTAAGAAGAGAGATGCCTTTTCCAACCTACTCCCACAGGCAGTTCACTTGCCGTAAAATCCAAACTTTCTTTCACCCCTCCAAGATTTGTGCTTTACGTAAGGAAGTTGGGCTCACGACTTCTCCTCCAAACAAGTACCTCTTTAGAGCTCCTTCTTCTACATTGTTTAACCAAGATACCAAACACTCTCCTAAAGAATGGTTATTCTCACCTCTTGATAACCAAATGAAATACCGAGCTGCTTTTTAGTGGACAAGGCAGAGTATTAAGCAAGATACTGCCAGCAGCCTCTCGCAGCAAGAGAAGAACTTTGAGATGAGAAAGAACAAGTTCAGTATTTTTAGAGCAAAAAATCTATAAAGGCAGCAGCCAGATGAGTCCATTAGGAGAAACTCAACCATCTGGAATAAAATGTCGTTGCTTCAGCAGAAGAGGGTGCAGGAGAACAGCCAGCATGTAACCATACCTGGTTTCGGAGTCAGACTGCCCTGGTGTCATTGCAACGGCCACATCCAGAGAAGCCTGCTCACACGTACCTAGACATTTGGCTCTGCAGACCCAGGATGAGATCCTGTAATTCTTTTGCTGGCATTTGGATTTCAAAGAGAATGTCAAGGCCTTCGACAGAGTCCACGCTACCTGATCTTTCTGTGAAGTTTTAAATATTAGATCATTTCATTTGAAAATTGTAAAAACAGCTATTGAGGAAATCCATGAGGCAGTGGGGAGTTAAGGGGTCAATCACAAAAGACATCCAGAAATGCAGATCGATGCATCTCTGCACATATTTAAAAAACACTTTCACTTGAAAATGTTGATAGGTGTAGTCTTATCAACATGCAGAACCTCTACCCTTCTTTTTAAACACAGCTTTCTGAGCTTCAAGGCTTACATTTCTAGTCATAACTTTTAATTTATGGATCACTGGTAGTCTGCAAAATAATATGGAGGTGTAGTAGATACCTGATCTCCATTTCAGATACTAACTTTCACCGCAACAGCAGAAATATGCAGTGCGTTTCCCACCACTGTTCCAAGTGAGCGATGGTTACCGTTGCCACGGCAGTGTCATGCAATTAAAAAAAGGGGGGGGCAGAGAAGGGTGGCAAATGCAATTAAAAAAAGGGGGGGGCAGAGAAGGGGGGGAATGTGGTCTACAGAATGACCACAGAGAAAGGCAGTCTAGGAAAGAGTGACTATTAAAATTGTTGCTTGAATTATGACCAAAGGTAGGCTCCTTCAGCTTTCTTAACCACATTTGCTCATGTTGTTTTTTTTTTTTTAACCTGACTAATAGCAAAGCATCACTGAAAGACTAGAAAGTTGTATTCACAATCTGTTTCTTTGTGGATAGCCCATTTCACTGTTTTATCTGGAAGTCCGTCCACTTTCCTTCTTATTCACACGATGCTTTTGCAGAGCAACAGGGCAGGGGAACCACACTTCAAATCACTGGGACATCTGGAGTATAGAGCTGTCTAATGTAATTCTCCTGGCTGTAACCCCTACACTCGCCGAAACTACCCGAGCTTGTTTTTGCAAAGAGATCCAACTTCCAAGTTGAGAGCATCCTTTTAAAAATGCCAGTCTTTCCTCCACCTGCAATATCCTGATTTAAGGGTGAATAAGGAGGACTTGAGGGCCCAAGACCCTGGACTCTACCAGCAGGAACAGCCATGAAGCAACACGCACAGCCCCTGGCGCTCTTCCTCTATAACGCTGCCCTCCTCTCATGTTGGAGGTGGTGTTCAGCAAATCCCACAAGCAGAAGTTTTTACACCCAAATATCGTCCCGTATTATTGAATTTGGGGTCAGAACTCCTTTTTTCTGATTCGCTGCAATACAAACCACCTGATGCTCTCAACTGCATGCCCCTTCTGTGCCCAGGAAGCGGTACCCAGCTCTGAGAAACCAACTGATGGTCAGCAGCAGCCACGCAGGGAACCATCAAAGCATGCTGGTTTCCTGAGTTTTTAACACTGTGGGATCTTGAGCACCCATTCATATAGCATTATTTTTTTTCAAAGATGCTGTTGAAAGAGCAAATTAACACAGTGAGATGAATAAAGTCTGAATTTCTGGCTTCACACTATAAGTTTCAGATATGTTGAGGTCATTCTCCCCATATCAGCTACAAGGCTGACCTTGCCCTCCCCACGGATATTTAAGCAGGAGGCAAGGGGGCAGGCACGAGAGAAGTTTTCTCTTGGCCAGAAGGGCAGCGGCATCCAGCACCACTACCCACGGACATCATCCAGCCACCGAGCGGTGATCGAATGCACAGTGATAAAAAAGTGTGCTGGCAGCCACGCCGGCACTTCAAACCCGAGCACGTAGGCTGCCATTCTTCACGTTCTCTGGAATAGGTTTCAACTTAGCGGTTTTTTTCTTCTAAATTTCCATTTTGGAACACGAAGAGGTGGAAATGGAAGATTATTAAAAGGGAAAGCCCCTCACACGATTAACTGAAATGAAATAAAATATTTCTGTTGTAAAGTCAGGGAAACTTCTCCCTCACCACATAACCTCAGAACCTAAGGACACAGTAACACCTCCTGTAGTACCAAGGTGATGCTTTGGGAACTTCCCTCTATACCGGGACGGGGATATGTGTGCATACGATGGGGACAACGAGCCTTTTGCATGACATACTACCGTGTGCTTTTCCAAAGGCCTGCTGGCTAACAGTGAGCCAACGGGTGGGACTTCCCAAAAGATGCTGTGCATGTCCTGCTCACCCTAAGCCCTCCCAGCAGGAGCCCAGACACACTCCGTATCAGAGCACGTTCCACAGAAAACCAAAACAAGTTCTCCAAAAAGCCTACCATCTCCCCCACCCAGTAGTAATTTTATCTTTATCATCATTTGGTCACCAAAACAGAGAGATTTAGCAAATCCAAGCGACTAAGGACTTAAAGTAGACACAGTCCCAGCCCCACAGCAGGCTGCCATGGGATTTAGGAGTGACCTTGGGACATTAGCTGCCTTCCCCAGAGCTCAGAGGTCTGGGAAGACCTCGCAGTCCATACCTTCATACCAACATCTTCCATCATCTCCCAAGGGGGCTTTGCCGTGCAATACCTTCAAGCCACCCAAGTAGCCCAGGGATGACATATTCAAGGAAGACAGGAGTTATTGACTCTGCTGCTGATGGCAGGACAGAAGGTGCAGCAGCTTTCCACAGGGAGTAGGAGAATATGAATACGTTCAGCACACACATCTATTTATCAATCAAATTGTAGATATGTTTGGAGTATGATACTTGAGCCATTCATCATTGCTTCCCTCCAGCCAACCTAACTGGATCCTACTTTTATTTGCTCAGTGCAGGCAATACTGTCGGCACCATACTGGGTGCATGCACATACACATACAAAAGAGAAAAATTCGCAAGGCAGAGGGTCTCCAGGAGACCGAAGATCCTGCCTGCGTCAGGTGCGCTGCATGAAGTCCTCTAATGCACACATTTCTAGGTCACTCCTTAAACTGGGGGGGAAGGAGGAAGGGAAGGGGGAGCAGGGCACACCGGCCTGGGGAGCACTCAGGCTATGGCTACCCAGAAGTAGACCTGCAAGAGATGGAACTCAGATGCTCCCCCCAAATCTCAGCCCGTGAAGCATCTGGCCAGATGTCTGTATGCCACAGCATCATTTTAGATTTTAACAGCAGCAGCAGCAACCACCACACAGAAAAATTTCAGCTCCTGGCACCGCTGCTGCTTTTTCCCTCCACTCACAACCTTTAGCTGTGGTCACACACACACACACAGTCCGTCTTGTGCACGTAGAAATCCAAAGCGAGTCGGGGGATCAAGAAATGGTGGTATTGAAGGAAAAAAACCCACCGTTCAGGCAGGGTAAAACAAGAAGGGGAGGGCTCGCTGGTGTAATTTCGGGGTTGGTCTAGGATGATGTCATAGCACTGAGCAAGTGCCATGGCCAAACAGCGGGTACTTCCTAACGCTCCCGTCCGTCTGACCGCTAATACCGCCGGGCTGAAATATTTAAGATTACATTTAGTTTAGCTCTAAAAGGCCATTTTTCACTCCTTTCCCTCAAAAAGGTTGCTACCGACTGCAGCCCGTGTGGATGCGAGGTGGGGGAGGCGGCACGACAACTAACTCTCCTACTACAAAGGCATCCACAGCAATCACATTTGCAATAGTACAAATCTTGATGGAATCATCCCATCCCCCTCCTCTTTGTAAGCCCACAGCCCGCTGTAAGCCCTCTCCGTTATCGCAACCCAGCAATCCTGCCGAGGGATCAAGCTGAAAAATGCAGTCACGGTACAGTTGCTTGAAATAAATGAATGAATGAAAAAAGCAGCCAGCAGCTCAGCCGGGAAGCAGCAATCTTATTGTTTCAAAACCCATCTGCATCTGCATCTCCACAGCATTTAAGCGTTTTGCACACGAGCATATATACACACTTTATGCACATGCAAATAAATATATTAACAAAAGAGGTAGGTGGGAAAGGGGGGGGGGAATCTGAGGTTATATTAACTTCATCCAGGCAAGTGGCTTATTTCACATATACTAGAAATATACATGGAAATTAAATATATTCTACGTTTTACATCTTATACACACAGAGCTAAAATATCTTTCAGTGCAATATCTAGTTGCTATGCCAACAACACCACCAACAAAAAATAATTAGGAGAGGAAAAAAAAACCCATTCCTGACCCCTTTGCAGAGGGAGAGGGGGAGAGAGGAGGTGGGGTGGGGTGGCTGCTTACCAAAGATGCTGATTTGATTGTGGCAAAGCGCTCTCGGTTCCGGTAGTGGAGGGCCTGATTCTGCACTGACTGGGTAGGCCGCACCTCAGGCCTGCGATCCCTGTGGCCCACCTCATCCCTTATAAATACATGATCCTGCAGAAATGGATAAAAACAAGGAGAAAGTCCGGCTGTGCTCTTCCCGCAGCACCTGCCTCTCTCTCACCCCTCTGTCTGCACAAGCGCCGCTGTTTGAGAGGCATAGTTCAGCTCTCTGCTAGCCCCGGCAGCTCCCACGGTACAAAATGAATAAGCAACACATTGCAGGCTCGGGTTCGGCGTGTCAGCTGATCGCTAGCGGGATGCCTTCTGAATCCCTGGCTGGGTTGGTTTTTTTTTTTTTTTTTTTTTTTTATCCCCTCGATTTTTAAAAAGGTCAAAAAAAAAAAAAAAAAAAAAAGAGTTTTTAAACCTCCAGTATTACATATGTGCAAAAAAAAAAAAGACTCAAAAGCATGAAGCGATGCAGAGCAATCAGAATCCTCGGAAAGGTCGGGTTCAAGCACTGCAACCCAGCAATCCCATTAAAAACGTGATTTCCATGTCTAGCAAAGAAGATGCTGTTCCCTTTTAACACAAGAGCAACATTTTGCCTCATTCCCTTTGCCGAGTGGTTCGTCCTCGATAGGGTTTCTTTGTCTCGTTTGCTATCTGCTGCGGAGGACGAGCATCCTGGCTAAAACCACGGCAGGCTGGAGAGGACCAGCAAAGCCTCCGTGACCACTCAGGGATCCTGCTTTCCAGTCATGATCCTGCACAGTTCTAGCACTTTCTCTCCACAGCCCACAAAGGAATTTTTTTTTTTTTTTTTCCCCCCTTTTAAAGCAACAGCTCACAGGTTTTAGCACAAATGGTTCCCGGTGCAACCTCCCTCTTGCTCGCTGGCGAGGCTTCGCGAGGCGCGGCCGCGCATCTGCGAAACGGCGCGTGCAAACGTTGCAATGGAACAAAGCTCTCGCCAAGCGTATAGAGGAGCGACCCTGATCAGAAAGGCCAGCAAAAAAAATGCCACCGCAATCCCGCCAGTTGACGTGGTGACCGCCGAAAGTCAGCGCGCCCGCAGGCTACGCCTTCAGGACGGAGCAGCCTTCGGACACCAGGCGTGTCCCGCTGCCTCCCGCCGCAGCTGGCCCCCCCGGGCCAGCCGTGACGGTAGCCAGCGTTGGCACAGCTGCCACGCTGCCATCTACCATGGTTTCGTGACTCCTATCCTCAAGTTCCAGCTCCTAAAAAAGTCGAAGGAAACCTGAGATTCCTCCTGAATTAAATCAAGTTTCCAGCTGTCAGGGGTGCAAAATAAAACGCTGCAAGCGCCTATGCCAAAAGGCAAATAAAAGACGCCAACCCTTGCAGAGAACGGCTGCCTCCGTGCACCGGGTGTTTGCAGGCCAGCAGAAGCAGCTTTGCCACCCTGCCATGCCAGAGCAGACACCAGGAAGGTCAGAAAGGCCTATGGTGAGAAACCAGCCGATACGGAGCAGCGTCTCCACCATGACACGTGCCGATGCTCCTTTCCCACTCTGCAGACCCTTGTTTCCCTCCCTGCTGTCCTCGGTTTCTAGCTGCTTCTAGTCTGGACCCACGCCCATTCAGCCACTCCCAATATGATTCTGGAAATGATTTCAAGCAAAAGCCAAACCAGTATAGAAATGCTGATATAAAAGACCTGAATGATGCATTGATTTAAAGTGCTTTAAACCCAATACCTTTCCTCATATCCTTCATTTTGAGCGTTTCTGCTCCACGCTCACCTTTCACTTGCCTTTGCCGCACAACGGCCAAGCCCATCACAGCACCAAGCCTGCACTGGTTCCTCCGTATCCACCCGAGGGAGACAGAAGCAGCTAAACCAGTTAAAAAGGACGGTCCTCCACAGAAGTAGTACGACTACAGAGTGTAATAAAAAGTAATAAAAAGTTGCAGTTTCATTTTATATTGGTCATCCTCATACTGGACTTTCTGTTGCGCTGTCGGAGCAGGGGAAGGCAGCGTTACAGAAGGGCAATTACTGGCCATCGGGCTGGTCTTAGCTTTTCAACTTGTGCATGTACATAGGCCAGGGCTCTCAGACTTGCACGCTTTCCTGAGAAAGGTACATCTTAGGCTCTAGAACAGGCATACCAAAAAAATCTTGATTAAACATTTCAAGTTTAACAGTATCACTCAGTTTAATTGGATTCATGGCTTCACTGGAAGAATATCAATCCCAACTTTTCTACAGCTTTGCACTCTCGCCTATCAAGTAGGTGTAAGGAGGACTGTGAAATACAATCGGGAAAAGCAGACGGGCTGGCAACTAACATCACCTTTTAGTCTGGTATTTCTACTGATGTATTTTGGAGCCTTCTGGCACAACAGCCCCCTAGCCAGGCAAGGGACAGAGCTAGAAGTAACGCTGACTTTGGCCTCTCGCTCTCCAACAAGCAGCTCTGCAGAGATAAACCCGGCTCTTTGGGGCTCGTGCCAACACAGCCTGATGCGAATGTCCTGGTACGAAGGAAGCTGGAGCCAGGGGAGAGGAGTCAGCACTGCAAATGGGAATTCCTCTGTTACAGGCTGAAACTGGAGCACCTCATATACAAAATAAAGCTGAATAACAAAGTCCTGCGGTAAAGATCTATACAAGACTTACGCATATCTGAACCAGGGAGGACTGAAGAGAAACGATAGTACACAGGAGCTACTGTTCCTCTACTGTAGCTATGAAATTAAGGTGGAAACAGGACAAATATTCCCCACGGTCACACGCAAAGCCTGCGGCAGCACACGTGAACGTACAGGGTCCTAAGGTCTGCTAGCAATACCCCGATCCCTGGACCATCTTCCCTCTCTCCATTCCATTAGTATGCCAGGGTGAACGTGAAATATTAAAACCAGAGCAGCAGCAAATCACTGAAATAGAGGCTTTTAAAATGGGCATTCAGATTTTTCAGAATGCTCCAAAACACCACCTAAAATGACAAGTTGAAATTGTAATTACTTCTTATATGGGAAAATTAATCTGTGGGTTACTTGCTGTCATCTAAGAGGTGGATTCTTAGAGGGCAGAATGTCACCCTGGTCTTGTTTTATGGGACTTCTAGTTATTTCAGTGCACATAAGAAGCTCCCAGCAGAATCTAATTGCCCTTCAGGAATGTGAATTAACCACATTCTCCATTTCAAATTGAGCTGGGCAAGGAATGGGAAAATTCCTTTGCAACTGAGCAAGCAAAAGGACCAATTTCAAGTGGACAAAAAACTCCGTGGTTGTCCTTGGCACCCCTTCACCTGGGATCTGAGGCTTCTGCATCAGGCAGGCAACCACCATTAACTCTCAACTAAGCCCATGCAACCTTAATAGGCAAAACGTTTTTCAGAAAAGCTGCCACGCTACTAGAAATAAAATCACTTGACATGAAGAGTTACCAAATCTAGCAAGTTACACTACCACAGAGGCTGCTAGTAAACAGAGACCGGTAAGACAAATAAACCTAAGAGTAGCCATTGACTGATGGCTACTACAACAGACATCTACCTACAAACCCAGAAAATAGATTTCTGCTCTTTTTATTTTATTTTCTCCTCCCAAAAGCTTGCTAAAAGACATGCAATCCTATCTCCTTTCAGATCTTGGCACAAATCGGGAAACCGTTTCAAACTTTTAGCTCCAGATTTGCGGGAAACAAAGATGCAAAACTGTCACCTCAGCTCAAGTTACTCAGTGAGTAAAACCTGATCGAAAGCAGGCCAGAAACTCGTCGAGTTTGGGTCAGGGTATCTCTCAGCCCTAAAGCTGCCGTTCAAACATTGCCTTGTTTTTAAAGTAACGTATATATCACTGTCCATCCGTTTTCTGTGTTTATTGCAATATTTGCCTTATGAATACAACTTCAGGCATGCTCAGATCACAACTCACGTGAAATCATGAAAATCCTTCTATTTGGGGTCAACAATCTAGAATCTTCAACTTCCTACTAAAGAAATCATTTGTTCCTCTGACTGTATTATCTGCTACGTCAACAGTTTTCAGGCTGATCCCAACAAATGGGGGTATTTGGCTGGGTGGTGGCTTGGAAATTGCTGACCATATTTGTCAGGACAAAAACTCTCCAACGTTTCTACAGTATTACCTGATCAGAGAGCTGGTGGAGCTTCCAGTTACTCAAGAGATGCGAAAGTGCAAGTCTCTCAAAACCAGTGAAAAAAACCCAAAAGGCAGGACTCCTACATATATTATGGATTACTAAGTAACAAAAAAAAAAAACCCAAAATTGTTCTTGTGGAAGTTAACCTCTGGATAAATAGAAATACAGAGAAGCAGTCAGGGCATTTGTTCAGACACAGCTTGATTCAAGCGGGTGCCAGCTGGATTTCTAAACGGGTGCCACTGGTGTATTGTCTGAGCATCTTACGATGCTCATGGGTCTCTGCTCAAACCAACGAGCCTTGCCCAAGGTCACCCTACCGAGTAAGAACCTGAATTTTGCTCTCTCGAGTCCCGTGCCAGTTGTACCTCACGCTGTCTTTTCATCCTCTTCGCTGAAGAAAGGGCTTTACCATCCCCTGCCCCCAACACCAGCACATTTCAGGAATCGCTGCTTAACACCGTTGCCATGCATTTTTAAGAGCGACACTAACAGCACGTTGCTAACAGTACCTTCATTTTATATTCAAGATATTCTGCCTAGACTCCTTCCCGATAACACTTAATAATTACGCTGATCAGATAATTTTTTGTTTTTGGAGAAAGACGTATCTTGTTCCAAGAAATGCTAGGGAAAAAACACCCACACAAACACATTGCTGCCACAAAACTTCCTGGTGAATAAAATACCTGCTCAGAAGACACCTGGAACAAGCAAGCTACAGAAGCAAGCAGAAAACAACTCCGTAGGTAGATGGGAGTTGATTTTTTTTCCTACAGAAAATCCTACAGAAAAAAAAAAAATCAACGCGAATTTTGCTTCAGATTTTAATCCCAGCAAAACCGGGCAGACAGATCTATAAATCGCATTTGATACTTACGTTTTTTCAGTATATAACATTATCATATGGCTGAAGCAACCCTTGCGCTGACAAAGCGTCAAACACAAGAATTAACAACACACAAGCAGAGAAAGGAGTCCCATCGTCTTCAGCAGCTGATTTAGAAACTACACCCCCACTGCGAACTCTGATCACACCGGCCTAGCCCGAAGCTGAAACATCCCAACTTTCGCCTCAAAAGGAACATCCACTTGCACGCTCCATTTTTTGCCACGCACACCAAATAAAAACCTTCAGAAACTGTTTACGCAAGAGGATTCGCTAACTGGAAAGGACTGCCAGTCTCCTCGACAAATAGGAAAGGCAATTTCTGAGCCATAGTAAGGACTTTAATGGAATGCAGCAACCCCCTTCCTTCTAAGAATTTAAAGAGCAAGGAAAACAACAGTTCATTTTAATACATTGCACTAAATGCCTCGATAACCCACAGAGAGGTTTAAGTATCAAGAGTCTTTCAAGAAAAGGCTTCACGTCACCAACCTGCTTGATGTGATTCCAGAAGGTACGTGAGGGGTCATCACACGCAAGCCAGGACTCAAGAAGCCATTACCTAAATATTCTTTACATCTCATAAAAACAACGTCTTTTCCAAGTATGAATCATAAATCTCAATACGTAGGAAAACACCCTCAGCTGTAACTCACGTAGAACCGCCACGCCAGAGCACTCTCCATCCACAGAATTCGGCAGGTCAGGAATGCTGCATATTAATCACGGCAGTGACAGGCGACGCGTGCAGGTTAATTTAATGCACTTGGAAACTCAAGTTGCAACAGTTATTACAGAAGTATGTTTTTATTACAGACAGTGGGCAAGAATTTGTGATGATCAACTATGAACATCCTCTTTTTATCCTTCTCTTATAAACTAGATTTTAATCAGAAGAGTTTCCGGACATTTTTATTGCCCAAGTCTCATCTTCGTAAGTACTGATGATTTTAAGGTTGAAGTAAGGAAGAGCAACAACTCCGTACTGCAGTTGAACAGAACTATACCGTACTGGCTTTTTGTTTGGATTAAAAGACAACAACCTTTTTTACTATTATAAAGTTTTATGGAAATAAAATAATACCATGTGGGAGCATCCTAAATCCTACCACTTGGCATATTCATTTAGGACAACAAAGTGATATTTTTGGGAAGCCACCTGTGCCCACGCTGACACACACCAGCAGTTGAACAAAGCAGACGACAAACTACCTGCAATGCATCAACTGATGCGTATCTTCTTAGGGAGCCATAGTCTTCATCCTCGTTTTAAGATGAATTAATTGATACCTATCTGCTTTTAAAATCTGGGTTATGTGTCTTTGAAGCACAGTGTATTTGGAGTTTAACTCCCTGACCCATTTTGTCTTATCCAGATACAACGGGGTTTGCATTAGAGCTGTCATTTACTCGTCAGTTCTCAACCTGCACAGCTGAACAATTGAATTAGCTCCCAACAGGAGATGGACACGAGAACGTGTATCCATAGGTAAGATGAGCCTTGGATGGAGAAGCACAGTTATGTTAACTGTCTTCAAAAGAGAGACGACAGAAAATTGGAACTCTTACACTGATCACACTGCAACTTGCATGGGGGAGGTCACCAATCTGAAACCTGCCAAGGGGCAAGGAAAAGTTCCTGGCAGGGCAGCTCGTCCAGGCCGGACATCTGAATTTCCCGTAAAGAATCTGCTGGTGATGAAGGCATCCTCCCGAGGACGCAGGCTTTCATCCTAAGGATGGCCTGAGATCCCAGTGCAGGCTTCCTGCCTGGGTAACAGACATTATTCCAATTTTTTTCCTCCCAGGAGTTTAGGACACAGCTGTCAACTAAGTTATATTAAAAGCTACACATTCAATTAGGGCTTTTTATTACTCTTATTTTCTTCCTGTCCAGTGATTTTTCTGCCATTCTACTGGTTCCACTCTGCTGACAGGTAGCAGTCACCTTCTTTCTAAGCACAGGTATAGAAACGTGGAGCTCTACTGCTGCCCCAGAGCTTTTGTATTGTGGAAGGAGTGAGACTGCGCTTGCTTTTCGTGGAGGATTTATTACAAATACTATTCTCTGTCAGGCAAAACCCAAGCATCTTGGCTATCGTGAACTAGTATAGCCAGTGAAAGTTAACTAGATCAGAAGCAGGTCCTTTCACTTACTCTGTGACCACAAAACATGTTTGGAAGTTACAGCAGCTAGCAGCTGTTAAAATAAGAAAAAATAAATCATGTTTACAAATGCTTTTACTACAGCAGCCTGTTTCTTATGCTTTGCCTGCGTCTCAGAGTAGCTGGTCACGGTAGAGATGCTAGGAGATGGGGACGCTTGAAGCTTCTCCCCGCCTAGGCGATGCAGCGAGAGCCTGAGGCCTGCTCCCGAATTCCACCGAGCAAACGCCGCTGCAGACGGGCTCCGTGCACCGAGCAGCGCCCTGAAGCGCGGGAGGCTGGCAACTATATTTCACACGTGAGCACAGACTTTTTCATCCTACATTTTACAATTGCACGGGACATTCCGGGGCCGCGGTCCAAAGAAACCAAAAGGCCTCTGACACTTTGAGCCTTAGAAAATATCAATGGTTTAGGCAATTTGCCGTCCTGGTCACTTTACACAGCCTGGTACATCCGGAGGTTCTTAATTAACACATTTGTGGAATACCATAATTTTACACAACATTTTGATTTGACCTGTGTCAAAACAATCTCGTACGTGACCCTATGCCCACATAACGGAGACAGCTGGCTAATTATGTTCATCGGTATTTTCTTATCAGCCTTTAAAGGCTGATTAAATGCAAAACAAAAGCTTAATTTAAACTTGAACCCTAGGTTCTTTCCATTTTGTTTGCGATTAGGCTCCAGAGTGCTACCAAACTCAGCACTCCCCCCTTCTCACCTGCTGGAACAAAACCAAGTTGTGCGGATCAGCTTCATCACCGTTTATAGAAACACAGTTAAAGCAAGCACAAAGACAAATTGAAGTATTTTCAGAGTAAGGAACTTTACCTTGAAAACGGAGTGGGATGTATGTGTATATAAACCCCCTGAAATGTCCTCTTCCAATCTTAGTCTTTTCACATGCATTATATATACACACAATGTACACATGAAGCAGTTTTCCATTTAAAATTGCATTCCCCAAAGTAGCAGAGAACAAAAAAATCAGGTACTGAATTAAAGCAACGTATCTGCAGACTGGAATACATCCTGCTACACAGTCTAGATTTACCTTATGTGCACATACAGCGAAAGGTAACATTTGCCAGTTGCGAAGGCATCTACTCCACTGCAAGAATCCGTAATCACACCCAATTTTTACCTATTTTCTAAAGACCATCAGTGCAGATCTGGGTTTTGTGCTTCCAAAATGACCCGAAAACACCTGTGTTAAGGGATCTCCAGGTGATTTCTTTTACAATACTTCAGTTACAAGTGTACCAGAGACCCTGTTTTTCCAAACCAGATAACAAAAACTTCCATGTTTACGCATTCTACTCAGCTGAATGTCTTAACCTCAAGAAAACAACAGCTACGCAGAAGTCTAAGAGGACTGAATTCAGAGCCTCAGAAATCTTCCTGTATTTGTCCTTTAGAAGTGTCATACAATCACTACAAAATGAAGTATTATTCTTAAAACAAGCAGGAACTCTCCTCCTTTCACAAACGCAATTTACGTCTGATGGGAGCGGCTCACGTTTTGTTTTCATTAACTGTAATGACACTGATCAGTCATTAATATTATAATGTCTGACTATTGTGTAAATCAAACTTCTATTTTAATGCATACGTAAATATGACTACTTAACAACGTGAAATCAAAATTAATACACATTTCTGAAGCCTACACAAAATGAGCAAAAGCTCCAACTATAACCACCCAGAACATACCATCGGTTGTGCTGCTCTTCATTCGGGATGGTTCCTCGCGCTGCCATTTTGTACCTAACGCTGTTTTTTGAGAAGGGTCTCTCTCAAAAGGTGCTACTGCAAATGTATTTGAGAAAGATGTAAACCCCTGAAACCTATGCAACTTATCTGCCAGTATCTTTAAATATGCAAGGCAATCTGTTGTTGGAGACAAAATTTCTTGAGAGCTCCCTTTTATAAGCACTTCAACGTTCAATTACACAAACACTGTATTTCAGGGGGGAAAATTGCTTACAAATATTTTGTTAGTTAGAACCAGGGTTTGCTGTAACCCTAACAAATGAGAAATTCATACTTTTCATGCTGCTGTAATGTTTTAGCTCCTGTGGCAAAAAGTATCCATACATTTTGAAGCTCTTTGCAAATGCAATCACACAAACAACCTATATTTTACTGCCCACTAGCAAATGACACTGCTAAGGCCAAGCCAAAGCTATTTTAGTCAAATGATCTCAGATTAGATGCTGACTTACAGCTAGACAACTTTAGCTTGATATCTAGCACTAAGAAAACAAAAGGCAACAGATCACAACATGCAGCAAAAGAGCAGAAGAGCGTTGAGTGGAATTTGACTCAAAACATACCTGGTGGGAAAGGTCCAGAGTTCTGCACACTTCCACTTCTCGTGAGGGAAATCCAAGCGCAAGCAGATTTTAATCGTACACCATGACTGGTAAACGGTTAGCTTAGCGCTACGACCACTTGTCACCATACTACGTAATACAGTACTATCATTCACAAGGGAACAAGGACTGATGTTACAAGCAGAGGTGAAGAAGTGCACATGCAGGGCTGGGGAAGGAGGCATGCGGCAAGTCTGCATGAACCCTGCCTAGACACTGACACTGCTACCTTTCGTCAGCGGCCTCTTTTTATTTTCCGAGGTTGTTTAAATGCAGTTTAGCTTTTAAAGAAAAAACACAGAACTTGATTCTGGCAAGCCCGGCACCAGCTCCTGCTCTCAGCAGATGGCTCAGCACGAGACCACAGCACACCGATCGTTGGGCCCTTTGCGGGTAAGCCAGCGTGAGCAATAGCAGGGACCGCAGGAAGCTATGGAGAGCACCAGAGAACATACCTTCTTATGAACAATGGAGGAAGTGGAATTAATTGTGCTCTCGTCACTATGCATCATGACCAGTTCAGGGCTGCTCTCATCCAGGACCTCCTGCATGCTGCTCACACTGCTGCTCTGACTGCCTGTGCTCACGGACATGCTTGGGATGGAATGGTTGCTGCCCAGACTGTCCATCTTCCTACTCAGGTTTGATCCATGCTCACTGTCCTATAAAACAAGGGGCATCAGTTACAAGCACTGCAGGAGATCACCTGCCTGGCGTCTGCCTGCAGTGCCCAAAGTTTGTTTTAAAGGCGACTCCGCAGAGGTAAAGGTTCTTTGCTCATTATTTTGGCAACTGTGTTCCTCAAGGCTGCTTGGGTTATGAAGTGCTCCATATGGGGCAGTTAGCTTTTGCCTTTTCCCCTGCAATCTTACTATATCAGGCCTCAAGCCAGTTTTTTCTGCATAGCGGTAAGCCTGGGCATGGCGTTTGGCTTGGAGAGGAGACATCCAGGAATAATGGACGGCTGGCGGAGGGAGTCTCATAATTAAAAGGAGCAATCTAAGTTTGTATTCAAACAACATTCCAAGTCAGGGTACGCCACCACGCATTTTGTGAATCGGAAAAGATGTAAGAATGAACTCATTTGTTTATGGTTTGATAGCTATCACATGGTGCTTAGGCAGGTGTAGTGGTTTTGACCTCCATCTCCCAAGCAGTCAGCAATTGCATTTTGTCAAGCTAAAAACCCCTTTAACGTTGTGTTTTCAGCCAAGATAAATTCTTCATTCACCTTTAAGCAGCTGACTCAGAAGAGCCTGCATTATTACAGTGATTAAAACTGTTGTGATCTACTTAGACATATGTAAATAAATGTACCTCATATAGGACATATTTTTGGTTCTTCAGACAAATATCAGAAGTTAGCATCCTTTGTTCTTGTTCCATACTTATACCAGCTCAGTAACCTCAGAATATGCGCTTCATCTGGACTGACTGAGAGAATTTATGGAGTCCTTTGTAATTAATTAGTGGCACTGAAAAGGCTTGCAAGGAGTTCACAGTGAGGACAGAGAACTCCAAATATTCTTCAGCTCTTGGTCCGAAACAGCCTCGATTCACCAAAATGAATGGCTTGCTACTGCACGCAGTTTGTCCTGGCCTCCAAAGCAGGCTTGGGAGAATGACATTACAAATCAAATAACAGGGTACTGATTTGGTTGGAAACTGACAGAAAGATAAAATTGACAGACTTGACAGATTTGTATTTGATCGTGTGATTATTTTTAAGCAATCAGCAGATCATTCAGAGCCTGTGTAAGAGCACTTAAAATCCAAAATAATACTATTTTACAGAGAACGTATTCACATGGGAATGACAATATTTCCAGGATGCTCCTATAAAGTTGCAGAAGAAATAACAGAATGAAGCATCTGAGACGAGGATATGGCTATGTAATTAATGAAAGGACAGAGATGAGGTTGCATATGCAACCTTAACATTGACTTCCTGACTTGAATACTTCTCAAATGACCTTAACTTTTCTTGCAAGAGCTCTGAGGAAAGCATTAGTAGTATTTTGAGCGTTAAAGATTTCTAATGCTCCTTTTCCACCTTAGAAAGTCTAAGGTAGGAAAAGGAACCGTCTCGTGGCATTTACAGTTGAGCAGCTCCTGTTAACCAGTGGAGTAGTAACTGAAGCAAGTGCTACGTTTTCCTTTCGCTGCCGAGTTAGTGATACACACGAGCATACAACCTTCGTTTGCGGTACACAAGCTCAGTGGTAAAACGCAGTGCAGAGCATGCTGTGCACATGCAGAGCGTGAGCTTCGTTAGTGTTAATTCCTAGAGATACAACCTCTTTTCTTCCCCCTTTTTTGAGAGGTGGGGACAGGAGGAACAGAAGATACATCTTGGAGTCAGCTACTACCACATGTATCCCGCTTCGCTGTTGAGCCTGGATCTGCTCAACAGTCAAGTGGGAAACACATTCCCTTGCACTTTCCTACCCTGTCGCTCTCCTAACAGCTTTTCGCACGTGGGTAGACAGAGCGTGAAGGTTTCCGTGCAAAAATCTGACAAATCCCCCCTCTCCCACCGCAACAACTAAGCTCGAGGTTTAGAAGTGGGCTAGCCGGAGGGTTAGAACAGAAGCACTCTGTAGCTTTAACCACAGTGGTTGCTGTTCTTGCTCCTTCTGCGCATCTCCTAAGGGCCAGTCCCCTCCTGTATGCTCTCCGACCCAACACCCAGGCTCGCCTATTTCTTAAACCGGAGCTCTAGTTTAGCCTTAAAGGAACATTTGACATAACAAACCTCAAAACCAAGTCCCTGAATATATGCTGAGCTTGGGCATCTCACTGCGTATTATCTTGCTATACCGCAGAAAAAAAGGAATACAAACGTCAATTTGCTTGTCTATTTTTCTGTTGAGAACCAGTCATGGATTCATGTGGCTGCAACAAAAGACATTAATTTCCATCTAATCTCATCAATTGAAAAATGACTGGTTTCCTTCTCTAAGCCACAGTTAGTGTCAATTATCAAACACAGATTAAGTGGGTTGTTTATTATAAGATTTAAGCTGAAGCTGAATTTTATGTCTTTAATCTTTTTTTCTTTAATATTAAAGAATTTTTAAAAGTAAGTCCTACTAATTTGGTGATTTGCTTTTCAGCTCATGATAGGCCAATTACTTTACAATAAAGTTATGGTAATTGAAAAAAAATATTAACATTAATCAAGTGGTCCTGACTGGGCTTCTGAGACTGAAAAGCTTGGACTGTCAACAGACCTGCCTTCACACAGGCTGCGAGCCACCTTCTTCTCACAGAGAATCTCCCTCCAAAAGAGTTTCTTCCATAAAGCTTTCAGAAGAAAGGTCACCATTTGAAAAAACCCAAAGTTTTAAAGTTGCCAACAAATGCACATCTAACACCGAGTACAGGCTACTGTCACTCATTATCCTGCCCTATATCTCTGCTGATCGGGATGATATTTCACCAACATGGATCGCACCCTCACCTAGGCTATGCTTGTTCTGCCCCCTTAAGGGCAGGACACTTGCCCTAAAATTACTTGTAACAGTGCAAATGAGGTAACAAAATAAAAGTACCTCCTCCTCCTCTTGAGACTCGGTCAGTGGGCCATTCCGTGTCTCTTGGAAAAGGATTTTCTTCATTTTCCGGTACTGAAGGTTATCCAGTTCACGTACGGCATCTTTTGTCCTTTGTATGAGGTCTATTAGTACCCTTGGTGGTCGGTCTCGGCGAACAAAATCATGCTAAATTAAAGGAAATAAACCACATGGTTTCAGACATGACACTAGTATGTTGGATGTAAAAACAGGGACAGTTACTTTTTTAAAGAGACACCTGAAATGACAGTTCATATTCAGTAGCTGGTCTGTTCGTATTCAATCATTAGTCATACCCACTATAAAAGACTCCAAACACACTCGGCATGGATTACACCGACTGTACTCATCGCTACGTCGAATAACCAAACGGATCGCGCTACGCGCCGAGTTTCAAAGCGTAGGCTGCAAAACGTTTTGTTCGGAAGTCGGAAGGTCTGCTGAAGCACAGAGCTCAAATGTAGAGTACAGAGCAGCGAGGCAAAATTCGCTTCGCTACTTGAAAGTCACGCGCGTGCGTACGGATGCAGGCAGGCGCATCAGCAGCGGGAGACGCGGGGCGGTGGGTGGAGAGGTGGGAGCCCTGGCTGACCCTTCGCCAGCTCTCTTTAACCCCGATTCACTTTTCTGGCTGAAGTGAAACAGGTTGGACCAGGGTCGGGTTTTCTGAGCTCTTCGTGCAACACAGCTAATTCGTCCCTTCCCAAGCTCGTTCGCTTGAAGCGTACAAGGTACAAGATGGTGCCGCTCCAAACCTGACAAAGGCACAGCACTTCAAAATGAACAAAATGCATAAAAGGGCAGAGAAGAATCGATCCTGACTATGCAAGACTACCTGCCTAACCTACACGTAAAGCTTTTTCCTGCATCTATCTATTCCGATTCATACATAAAACCAGTAAGACGACTGTGAAGTTTATTTATACTTAAAGCATTTGCAGTCAGAGTTAAAGTATTATCAGTTGTTTACTAACTCCTGCTAAGGATGTACTAGAAGCACAGGTTCTAAGCGCAGACTTAACAATAAATTCTTATTAATTTATGATTAAAGGCTCTTCTCCGATTTCTCAGATACGTTCTCCTGAACCGTACCACTGGCAGTAGAGTATGAAAGCTTTGCAGCTTTCCCATTTAACCTTTGACTAAAGTAGACAGGTCGAGTATACGCTTGCCAAAATTCTACGTGGGATCACTACAATTGGGTACATTGCTTAATACGTATCACGGGAGATGGCCTGAAGGCACAAACATCTTCTGCACGTTTCCAGAAACATTAACAATGAAAAGAGAGAAAGGGGAAAAAAGTTGTTCTCTACCCTGCAACGCAAATGCCACGGCGGCTTTTGTCGGAGAGCCTCCGCAGCCGGACCCTGCCTGCAGAGCCGTTCTCCGGAGGGGCACGGCTGCCCCGCGGCCTCACAGCGCTCTCCACGCCTGGGGAACTCAGGGTCCCGCAGGACAGGGATAAGCATCTCTGCCCTAGGCGGGCTGCCGTCCCTCAAGTTCAAGAGCTAACACACCCACCCGTAACTGGAGCAAGCCGTACATGAAGGCCAGTCCTCCTTAAAACAGGAGTCTTGCCTATAAAAAAGCAGAAAGGCTGAGCTGATCTTCTTTTAATGATTTGTAAATAAACATGGGAAGTATCATGCCACAGGCTTATTTCTTGTTTTTAATTGAATTCAAACTGTTGTGCATTTGAGTTTTGCTAATGAGGACAGCTAGGCATTTCAGCACCAATTTTTTTGCTACTGGTGATGGTGTTTATTTTTGAATTATAGCTAAAAGTTCTAAAAATCATTTAACACAGAAGCAAAATGAATAATTTCTGCTCCTCAACACAGATAACCACCGTTTATTTCTCTGTAAACGGTAACAACCTGCAGCTTATCTATTATTAGAAAGAGGGTTTATCTCATTTTTATCTCATGGTAGATAATTTTTAGAAAGGAGTAAAGTATTTGGAACAACGATCCTGAACTTGAATCCATCCTATATGTCCAGCGTCTACTTGTTTATGCATATTCTTTAACGTGCAAATACTAATTTCACTGGAAAGACTACGTGCTTCATATCCAAGCACTACTCAAATATTAGGATGAGACCACATGGAAACCGCAGGGCAGATGCACAAAAGCAAAAACCAAACCAAAAGGATTTTGCATAATGAGAATACAACTCTGACTGCTTACTTGCATCATCTGATTGTATAAATTATATAAAAGATGTATGCATCCCCTCTGCTAGGTACTGTGCAACACTAAGAAACGATGGCTGAGAGGACTTCATTTGTCCACTTTCTCCAAATGGCAAGGAAAAAGCCAAACGAACCCAAGGGGAGGAAGAGGCGAGCCTAAAGGCAGGCAGCAAGTTGGCTGGGAGAGGGCCCAACAGAACTCGAGTCTCCCGGGAATGTCACGTAAGCTGAGGGAACAGGGGAAAACTTTTAGAACAGATTTTGTAATTGCTTTTAATTTTAAAAGTGAAAAATATCAGTGAGTTTTTGGTTGTTGTTTCTTTTTTTTTAAATTTCAACTGCATTTTAATATTGCTACAGTAATTTGACTATTTTCATCTGGGATAGTGAATTGAAACTGTAATCATTCTCAAACACCTCATTTAAAACTCGGTTCCCCTTAAGAAAATGTGGCCACAAAAATTTGCCCCATCCCTGTTTACTGTACACAAGCGAAAAACCCTCAGAGGACAAGAAGATCTTCATAATCTAACAAGCTTTAGGGAGAGCTACGGCAGGAGGGAACATCTAGGGTACTGTTCTGAAAGTCTAAAACCAAACAAAAAGACTAAATAGACATGATTTAAGAATAAAATCTCAGCTCCAATTGTTTGCACAGACTTCAACCTAAGGTACTCATGAAATCATATCCTTCAATGAACTTACGCTATTCCTAGAGAGCAGAAAGGCTGCCGATCCACAGGAATGAATCATTCCGAAACCCACAACGTAAACCTATCAGCTGGTCAAAGGACTGTCGGGGTGCTGCAAGCAGAACCCGAGAACAAAACACTGGTTATGTGCCACAGCAGAAATGTATCACGGGGGGGGGAAATAAAAAATAATAATAAAAAAATATACACACACACACACACACACACACCAGGTGCCGAAGAGAGAGTACAAACAAGCTCATTCATCGGCCTTTACCTGGAAAATGAAGGCATGAGGGTTAAATATTCTGTATGGTCCAGGCTTAAAGCAAGGACAGAAGCGAGCGCAAAGCTAGCTGTTCAGTAAAGAGCGCAGGGTTTCAATTTCTCTCTTCAAGAACCAAGAAGCTCAGAAATCCATGAGAATGCATTTTACTGAGCTGAAAGAGCAACAAGAGAAGCCATAAAACAAAGGCTGAATGGTAGCCTTAGAACAAAAGTCAGCATGAAAAGGCTGTCAGGTAGACACAGAGCAGCAATCTAACCTACTGTGGAAATGAAGCCAAACACTCACTGGAGCTAGCAATTCCTCTGCTCAAATATTTAAGGAAAAACTGAGTCCTGATTACCTGGTGTGGAAGAGCAGCATGCCATGCAATTCTCACCAGCAGCTATGTACGGCAACCAGAGGAATAGCAGGGCCACTAATCAATTTTAAAGAAAGGAAATACAAGGAAGAAAAAAAAAAAAAAAAAAAAAAAGCCCAATGGAAAAGGGGCCGGACAGGATTTCACACATCCCTACCTTCTAACAGAAGGCTGCTCCTGAATTTCCCAAACACAAAGCCCTTGGAGTTATAAGCAGTTCCTATACTTCTCAGGCAAACCAATGACTTAAGCTGGAACTGATTTATGATTCACTGACAAAACTTTGGCAAGCTCTGGACACATCGCTCCCAGCACAGGTCCCCCTCCTACATGCTCTTGGCAACTGTGAGCCTGTACGAGGCACCTTCCAAAATGATACAGTTATTTCCAAAACACCGTCTAATTAATTGGGTTCAGTATAGAAACTATTAAAGGGTTAACTTTAATAATTAAACAACTTTTGGCTTTGGTGGTTTGATTAGGGGAAGAAGTTAACCTAGGCCTATCCTGTTAGTGCTGCTTTTAACAGCTACGTATGATGCATGAATATGAATGAAAAGAAGCAAACACATTACAAGTTGTTAATGAATCAAAAGGAATTGCTCAAAACCCATCTAGGGCAAAGAAATGGTTGGAAAATGGAGATCAGAAACACAGATGGAAATACAGCACCGCATGACTAGAGGGAAGTTGGAAAAAATGTGATGTCTGGAAATACACAATAAAAAAAAAATAGATGCAGAGTATATTTGGTAAGTAATAATGAGGAGGGATCTACAGTTGGCACTAATCAATAAATTTGTCAGGATTTCCGCACCAGACAGTGGTCAAAAGAACACAGCATCAAAACCTCCTATTGTAACACCAGAGAGCAGAGCCGAGCCAGCCTTTCCCAGCTCCCACGTAGCCACACCTGGAGGAACATTTGATGGTACGTGTACTAGTGCCAGAAATGCCTGTCCAGCCAGAGGAACTTTAGCTAAAAAAAAAAAAAATTGAAAGCAAAACAAGAAGTGGATCAGGAAGACCCAAATGAATGTTTTACAAGAACAGAGCAAAAGAAGAGCTGAACTGAGATCAGGCAGAAAGATTGTGAAAAGATACATATTCAAAAGGTATGAGCAGATGAAGAATGAATCATGCTCACATTAGCATTACTAGAGGAAAAAAGGTCAAGATAACCTGAACTTAACCTGCGTCTGTCAAAAACAAAGAAAAGACAGGATTGTTCAGAGCACCCCACACAGAACAATCCTGCTCTGGCCAGGAGATAAACACAGGTCATCCAGTCTCTTTCCATCTAACATCCATGTTCCTTTAAATAATCAGCTGCTATCTGTAAATATTTATTAAGAGCTCAATCCTCTGCTCATGTGGAGTATAATTCTCAAAGTACTACCAGCTCTGCAAAAGATTTGCTATTGCTTATGCATCTTATGAAGACTGGTTAAATCTAGATTTTGAGTAGCAATTAAAATGGCTTTTTAGATTTTTCTATCGCTTCCACAGAGAAAGCCTGGAGCAAATTACAATCTTACTGAAATTGCATATAAGCTTAGCAGCAAGTATTACCGGTTACACAACAGAAAAATAACATTTTTCCTTACTGGAGAAGGTAAGCAGAAAAAAAAAAAAAAAAAAAGGAGCATCAGCAAGTTAACAGTTACATTACTTTACAAAAAACTGCGTAACTGCTCCAAAAAGGCCTTGCTTTCAGCCAAGCCACACCGGTTATAGCTTCCCCGCTCCCTCGGGTTGCCTCCAGGTTGCTCCCCATTACTGCCTGCTCTTCCAGAGGCCATACAGCGGTCACAACTCAGGGCATCCTACTGCCAGCACAGTACGGCAGAGAGGCTGGTGAAAACTCCTTCTTCATCACAGCAGTAGGAAAACCACGCTCCTAAATCCTGCCTACACAGAAAACTACTGGTTGGAATTCACTTCTGCAGCACAGATTTAACTAACCCAGCTCTCGACCTGTCTGTCCTTGATAATACTTTCCATTAAAGTATGTACAGCATTGTCTTGGAAAAAAAAAATTATTAAAAAAAGAAAAATCAGTATTAAATTCTTCTATCCCCCTTCTGCTGACAGGCCCTTCCTTCAGCTAAAAAACCTGTTACTCACACTACTATCCCATGAGGCTTGCAAGTTCTCCGACACAAATGTAACCTCTGCGGAGCTCTGGGGTGTAAGAGGAGCAGGGTGCTGAGCTGCTCCCCCGAGTAACTCCTCACTCAACAGTACAACTGTTTTACCACACAGCCTACCTCTGCTTTTCTCCAGGAGCTCGACTCTTGAGCATCATGTTATAAAAAGAATTGAGACTGATATAACAGGCAATGTCAGGAAAGAAAGTTAAACAGCCTAAAATACTCTTCAGAAGACCCCAAAACTCTATTGATTCAGATGAGAGCAAAACCAAGAATTTTTTTTTTTTTTTTTGAAAGGGCAAATATTTGTTCACCATCTTTGTAATTATTTTGGTAGACAAACAGATTTTTCCCAAATTTCTCAAAAAGATTTGAAAAATTACCCGTAACAGATCTGTTGATGATGGCCTTTCCTGAGGTATTTTCTGTAAGCAGTAATCAACAAATCCCCTAAAGGAGTCTGACCTGTAAATAAAAAAAAAAAGTTCTAAATAAAAAAGCAGCTTAAGATCTGGAATACAAACACAAACTTCTTAGCGGAAAGCAAAAGAAAAACCTTGACTAATTTGTTCTTAAGTTCTGGGACAGAGAAATTACTCAGGATTTGGAAAAGTCCAGTTAAGTTGATCCCACCAGTTCTTCCAACAAACACGGACACACAATTATCTCCCAACCAGAAGCTGAGAACTATGCTGAGTCACTATTTTCAATTTTACTTCAACGACTTAAAAAAAAAAAAAGATGTCAATGAAATTATTGGTAACTCCAGAAATGCACTTACTAAGTTTGCTGATGAAATGGCTCTCTAGAAGCTTCCCACCATTTGTTACACTGACTCGGGAAAGCACCTTGCTACAATGCATAGTTCAACAAAACTTTAGGCTATATAGGAGCTCGTACCACAACTGGAAAGAAGAAAACTGATCATCTAGGCGCTATTGAGCTCGAAAGCAGTGGTCTCAAAGCCACAGAGAGCAAACAGGTGGCTATAAACCAACCGCCTGCAATCGAGAATACTGATTCTTGTACTGTATTCCCAAGTTGTCTCTACTCTGCATTGCAAATTCTGCACAGAAGAACACGGGTAGCAGTGTGCAGATATGAGACCAAGTTCTTTGAATCTTGAAAAATGGACAAACCAGAGAGGATGAAATAAGGAAACCGGAGTGGTTTTGATAAATGATGAGCAATGAAACAATTATGCTACTTAAATGCCTAGCAGTGTAACTGGGGGAACTTCACACCTCTCCAGGAGCTGCTGTTTCAAGCCATCTGCAGACTCTGCCAAGCACCCCGAGAGCTACATCCCACCCTTGGGTACAGAGAATGGGGTAGCCCCTTTGCTCCCACAAACTAAGGAAGCATTCTTGTATCAAAGTCCAGACTCTGGAACAAGCCTGTAGCATGGGGAGTATTTACTGGCCACAGAGCTCTGATGGACTTTTGAAGTCACTCACTGAAAAACAAACAAACAAACAAACAAACAAACAAACAAACAAACAAACAAAACCCCTAATTACCTCTATATTCTGTGCACCTCTCCCTTTCTCCACATTTCAGCTGCACTACAATGCTAACAATTCTTCTGTCAGGGATCTTTTGCAGCTGGAGGCTTTGCTGAGCTACAGCTGGCTTAATGCATCCAACAGTATTTTAATTCCCACAGCATCTACAGCCCCATAATTAACACCTCCACACATGTCGATTGTAGCACAGCCAAAGTGACAGAAGGTCAAAATTGAGCCTGCCTACACAGGAGCATTATTTGAGAACGCAGTCAAATCACTGCACTGCAACGAACACTTTTCTTGTCAGACTTTAACCACGAAAAGATTGTTGCAGAACGTTTTCAGGGAAACAAACAAAAAAAATAATCCGGTAATAGCTCTCTTACCATTCATTTGACTGTAACGTAGGGGAATCGTTCTGGGCAATGTGATATAAGGCACTCATTGCATTCATGTTGAAAAGCGGAGGCTTCCTTTCAGCTAGAAAGAGAAGAGAAAGGTGTGATAAGGCAGTCTGGAAAGAAAAGGAGAAAGATAGGGAAGTATGAGCAAGGGTATCACTGCTACATCAATAGCTCATTACTGTCGTCATCGCATTTAAGCTAATTATTTTCATATTCTATGTTAGACCAGGACAACCACTCAAGAAAAGCTGTTCTTCCCTTCAAGAGGGAATGACAAAATCCAAAGAGAATAGGATGCAAATTTTAAAAGGAGAAGTTTCCAGTAAATGTTACCTTAACTGCAAGTTTTCACTCCTGACCTGCTATGCTAAGACCAGCAGAAGCTGACTACAACAGAGCTTAGACACACAGCACGTCGGGACTAGGAAATTCATCTATCAATCCCTACGGATCTTTGATGCACTGCTGTAGCATCTGTATTAAGGGAAAAGAGTGGCTGCCTGTTTCATTTGTCATTGGCAGTCACCTGCAAGTGGGACGGTTTGCCAAATTCACTTGCCAGATGCATCATTAACTCCCCCCAACCAAAATTCTTCCTAGTCCTTGCGCCGAGAGGACACCTACCTACCAGCCCGACCTCGCAGGGGTGCAGATCTTGCACAGAAGTTGAGAAAGACGAGTTTGCACCACCACCTAAAGGGCAGTCACGCCCATCGGCACACGATGCCCGGATTTTTAAGTTCATGTCAGGTCAGAGCAGTCACTTGTCCTTGACATGCAGCATGCAGGCAAACCACCGCATTTTCTTTTCTTTAAACACTACTTACTTTCGGCTACGCAAGAAATTAAGACATCAGCATTCAAAGAAAGCCAAGTGGTGCTCAACACGAGATTTCCTCCCACTGCTACCTGATCCCATGTTCAGATATGGAATCATGCAAAGGCAAAGCTCGAGGTTTAAAAAAAAAAAAAAAAGTTTAATACTTCTCAAAAAGGTAATATTGAAAAAAGCAAACCCATCAACTGCATAACATGGCTTTTGAGGTTCTTGACTGAAAAGCTCCACAGAAATTCTAGTATCAAGGCTCAGTGCCTACGTAGGGTAGGGTAGCATAATATCTATTCTACCGCTGTGATTTACTCCTTGAGAGGCCATAACTAGTCTAAACTCCACACGAAAAAAATCCGCGGCCATGTGGAAGAACAGAAGTTTAGAACAACTCATTTTTGCATTCTTTATATCAAAATACAGACTGTGTCGGCAAGGCATTAGCGCCGACACATGAAATACAACACTGGAAGTTACTAGTCATTTACACCGTTACCGACTCCACATTGGGGTCAACGTTTCTTCCCATTCTGTATGTCCCCCTCTTATCTCATATATATTTGTGCTGATTAAACATTTCTGAATAACATTTTCAGTGAACTTGCCCTCACACTAAGTTCTTAATGTACTGCTGGGAAGTATAATCCATATCAAGAGCATCTTTGAAAATAATCTACTCAGCACATGCAATGTCAGTAATCAAGCTTAAAGTGCACACATCTGCTCTGTGTACCTGCTATCACATCTACATCTGCTTCAGGCTGTGTGGATGCGTGTCATTTGCCCTTTGCAGTGCAAACCCTTTTCTTCTCATGTAAAGAACCTGTCCACGTTGATTCATGTCTCAAACTTTCAGCTGAGATTGAAGTTTTTTGTTTCAGAGAGTGGGGAAGTAAGAAGAATTGAAAATTAAATGTAGGTCCCTTCTGACACACCATTCTTAGGACATCAGTTCCCTTGACATAGTAGCTGGAACGACTTTCTCAAAACCCAGGTTGAAAAATACAGACTAGAAACCATGGTTTCTTCTCATACAAGACTAGAATCCTCTCGTTATTAAGGGAATAACCGAGCAGACCAGATTAACATTAAAGCACAGCAGCATTAGTGGATTGCTCTCGATTTGCCAGCGAGTAAAAGATTTCCCCCAACTGTCAGCGCTTTCCAAGTCAGGCTTTTTAAAGAAAAAAAAAAAAAAAACAAACCCTAAAACTTATGAGGAATAAGAATCTTCCATTTTTTCAGGACTTCCTAATAAATATTGCAGACAGTTAATTATTCATCTCAGCTGCCAAGTATTTACTCACCTAACTCAATACACGTGATCCCAAGAGACCAGACATCCACCTTTCCATCGTACTGTCCCTCGTCCATAGCAAGGATCACCTCTGGTGCCATCCTACCAACCACAGTGCAAAACATGCGGGTTAGGGGATACAAATTGTGACTCCCAGCACACAGCTTAAAATGAGACGGCTTCGTTATCTTCAGCAGCGCAGCGGACCAGAACTTAAAGAGCCAGCATGGAGCTAAGTGAAGCCATGCCGAAATGAAACAATGCTTGCCTGCACTAGCAACTCTTCCAAGAGGCAGTTTAAGAAAGGAAAGGAAATAAGAGGCCAACCTGATCCTCTTGCTGTTAGCGCAACATGCTGGCACATGGGAGACCCACCCCGATCTCAAAGGCATTGTACCTGCAGGCAGACAGCAAGGGCTGGGAGAGTCCTAAAGGCATCACTTTCACTCTCACCAGAGATGGTGGGGTTTCCACTGGCACACCAGGAGAATTTTCCAGCAGATATATGCAGCCTGTGAGTGTAGCTATGAAAGGAACAGGGAAATCCGGAACAGTGGGGAAATACGGTGGCCCAGGATAAAGGGATGAGTGGGGCGGGAGGGGGAAGAAGCAGTGGGCCCAGCCTGCAAAAATTCAGCCTCTTTTGTTCTTCAAAGACAAAGGAGGCTTCCTGCCAAATGGACTCGTTCAGAGGTTGGGCAATAGGCGACCTCTCATCAACGCCTGGGGCGTCTGCCACAAAGTAAGTGGAGCATAAAGCTGTGCTGGTCCACTACAGTAGGAATGCCAAGCAACTCAAGTGACCCTTACGCAAGTTTCTTCAAAATAGAATTTAAGTAGCTGTGTGACTTCCAGTCTGCATGGCCAGATTAACAGGATTCCCTCTTTCCATGTGGTTGTCTTAGTTCCACTACCCATGGCATAATTTTTAAGCCAACGGCATTACAACAGTCGAAACAGTAACTGGTGCGATATCAAAGTGCTGCACAGCCTACCTCTACTCATGGCCACTGAGAAAGAACACGTTTCCTGAAGAGCTGGACACAGGGATTTTAAGAAGACCGCTTAGTTAACAAGGTTTTTATGACAGATACTATTTTCAGATTGTGAAACGCTGGAAATGGAAGAGAGCAGTCTTATAAAGGCCTGAAGTACTGCAGACTTTACTCACCAGTAAGGCGTTCCCACGAAAGAATTGGCAGGGGAGACTATAGATGCAGACCCAAAATCAGCTAGTTTCACTTGACCTGGTTCTGTTAGAAGAATATTTCCAGCTTTAATATCCCTTTAAAAGTAAAAAAGAAAAGTATAGTTCTGGTTACAATAGAATAACTTCCAAAAATTTACAAACACACAGAAGTCCACTAACTTTTTCTCAATTGAACATTCATAAAAACCTGAGAATATTTAGAAGTCTAGTATTACAGAAAGCTAGAGAAATCAGGTACGTGGGTTTTTGGGAAATGGAAACCTGGCTGTACCCAAAAAGGGCAGGGGTGAGGGAAGAGGAGAGGAGCCATAGCTGCAAGGTTGAGGCCCCAAACTGAGATCCAGGAGAGAGGTATCCCAATACCCTGCTGTGACACCTTAAACGATACCAGACATGTTACTTTCATCTTTCAAATGCCCTAGGCTTCCTTATCTCATCCTTCCTACAACTCTCAGATAATTCATCCATTTAAGAGATTAAGGATAACGACACTACTGAAATACAAAAGGCACAAGATACATTCAACACCTTTGGCACCGTAAGTTTCTAAATTCCAGCAGTAAGTGGGATAATTTCAAATTAACTCCCCATGAAACGCTGAGAACGGTTAACTCAATTGGCACACCTTCCAAGACACTTGGCAACGACCCTATTCAAAGTCTGAGACGGACTTGTCAGTTATATCCCAAATATTTCTTTCTTCCACCCATCTGACATAAAAGGAGGAGGATTGCTTTAAGAAATTCAGGTCTACTTACATACTGCCAGCTGAAAATCACACTATAGTGAAAGTTCCTTAAAACCCTGATACAGCACTTCAATAACAAAGGGAAAATTGCACACTAGGTATGCCACAGACGCCTTTACACGGGCAAAACTATTTGCTTTTGCAAAAGCAGACCCTCAACATAAACGGAATCTGTGTAAGGGATCCCTGTCAGCCAGGCCGTATACGCCGTACAGTCTGCAACGTCTCTTTGCCATCTTTTCAAAAAATATCATGTATCTTTATACAAAAAAACGCATCAAGAAAAATATCAGCTTTTCTTAGCTGATGTTCAACTCTAAGTCCTTAAACAGCAAAGCCGCTTATCAGTAGCGGGAGACCTCCAGCACAAACAAGTGACTGTGTATGGCCAAACACACTCATACTCCGACGCTGCGAACACCGAGCTAATTAGATAAATGGGAGGGGAAACAAAGCTATCTTGTATTTGCTGCAGAGGAAGAGCATACACTGAATCATCGTACGACAGCTGAAGCGTAAGGATGTGTGCGTCAAATACAAATCCAGTATCACTGTAGACCCAGAGAACAGGCAAGCTGAAAGACCTTTTAAATTTAGCATAATAGAAACACTGGTGAGATGCCTGTCTCCAAAAGGCAGCACACAGGATAGGCAAAGCTGGGATAGAGGCACAGAGACAGGAATTTACTTACAGCATTTCAGCAGCAGAGCCAGAGTAAGAACTTCTATTCCCCCTTTTCCAGGACTGTATCACTTCAAAACTAGTACTGCGCATTTTTTTTGCGCACATGTGCTACTCGGAAACATATCCTGACATGTCTTCACGTTTTGGGTCTATGCATCTGTCACTTCTGCTGGAGGGCAAGTGCTAAAGATGTTTTGTGTGTGCAAGAATGAACACCTCAAAAGTACAAATGAGACAGCACAGGCTGTCCTCTTTGCTGTCATCTCCACTGCTGCCTTCACTGTACAACAAGCAACAACGGACAGAGAGGCCACGTTAGGTATCAGCAAACACATTTGCTAACTTAGGTTTGCCTTGTACCTGCAATTAAACAGAAAATAATCTCATCCTTTGCCATCTCACAGCGTGACATCGCAACTCACGGGCAGCAGAGATGCTGTCGAGCTCAGGAGGAGAGATTGGAGGCTTGCTTTGCTCCTGCATCTCCACAAGGTGTCCCTCCATTCTAGGGCACGCTCGCTTTGCCTTCCTTGCTGTGGGGCAGGGAAACCACAGCCGTCCCAGCTCCCAGCTTTGGCCCCTTCTCATTCAGCGTTTGCTTTACTTTTCTCCGTGCTACTGGCACTTGCCACAGCAGAGGCGAGCAGGGTGTTCTCCTCCAGGTGCACAACCACAGGCGAGCTGCGCACATCGGCACAGCACTCCTCACTGCTGAACAACGGAGCTAGGAAACAGCACTCTTTCGCCTCTCCTTTTTAAGATACAACAGCTATCAGAAAACTAGAAGTCTCTTGTTGGTCCTCTTTTCTGAGAGAGGAGGCTTGCCTTCCCATCTCAGCAGCTAAAAGGCAGAAGAAGAAAGAAGAACCACCCCTCGGAAGCAAACCAGCTAGATAGGCACGACCTGCGTGGTTCTTCTGGCAGCAACTTTCCTTACGGCCGCTCTCAGCACGCTGCAACGGCAAAGTAACGTCTTCCACTTTGAAAGAGAAATAACCAGCTTTGTTCTTGACGTGCAATGCGCACACTCATGGGAAGTTCACACAGAGTAGCTAGTACTCAGTATGTGAAACTGCTGAATTTACAACTCGTGAATCATATGATGTCGCAAAGTCCTAATGAGGACTGAGGAAAACTAATTCTCCATCGTGTCCATACAGGGAGTCATTGACTATAAATAAGAATTCAATGCACTTTGAAAGCACGTAAAATATTTCAAAACAGGTATTTTTATGCTCAAATAAGGGCATATATGCAAAGGGCTGATCAAAAATCATCTTAGGTTAATTTCATAAATTGACATTCATGTTTAAATTAATATTTCACCAAAATATGATTTAATAACCATGTGCAGATATGCCGCCCCAGATAGTTATTCTAACAAGTGACAAATAATTCCTGTCTCTGTAAAAATCCCTCACTGTCTCAGCCTCAGATATACTGATTTTCTGCCTCAAGCTTGCCAGCAGATGACAGAGGCCCCATAAATTAGTCTCAACTTGCCTCGTTCTGATGACTCACGTTACACGAATCTAGTTCTCACCCCTTTCACAAGTCCCTGACACATCAGTAGCAAAATTAGACAAAAAAGTAAACATCAAATGAGAACATGCAACATTGTTGACAAATGAGTCAAAGAAATATAAACTCCTGAAAAATATCACGTTATGACAGACAGATCTAAGAGCTGGCATCCATGAGCAGCCTGTGACAACATCTTCCTCTGCCTGTGTGCTCTGATTTCTCCTAAGGTAGTTTTACCCTTACGCTTTCATTGACTGGTTTCTGAAAGCATTAAGTTTTACTTACTCATATGTAAAAAATGTCTAGTCTTAAAAATAGTCTAGCTCTATCACTCTATTTGGCAAATTTAGGGTGATATTTTCCTGTCAGTCAGCCAACATTCAGGTGTGTTCTTTGCTACCAGGGTCCGCAGAGAAAAATTGCTAACATGGAAGAGAATTCAGCACCGAATATAGCCACAATTTAATGTGCCACATTTTCAACAACAACAAAAAATACACTCCTTAACAGCCAACAGCTTTTATTTATACTTCTACCCTGGCATCAGGAGTACTGACAAGTCCGTTAGAGAAAATCTTGGTAGAATAACTTTTACCAAAGTCACCTAAACACAGCAAAGCAATTTTCAGGCTCCAGAGAGTGGAAGATGGAAGGACACGTAGGCAGCACCGAGCTCTCGCCTTACCTATGAATCTTACAGTGAGAGTGCAGGTAGGCCAGCCCCTGCAAGGCACCGTGGGTGATGGCTGCGATCTCCACTTCCTGAAGTGGTTTCTTGTGAACTACGGAAAAAAATTCAAGAAAAGCCATAAGAAGCTAAGTGTGATCTTCTCCTGAGAAAGTGTTTTTAAAGAGAAGGAACCCCACCAATTTTGCCAGCTATGAGATGACCATCACCTTCACCGTACTAGTCTCCTACGGCCCGATGGCTGTTAGCAGCCCTGAGCCTATGCACAGCCTGTGCACGTACGCCACATCATAGGAAACCACATTTTTCTTCGCATTCCTTCGAGGGCAAGCAGTGACTGT